CCACCAGGGAATGGGGAGCTGTGTCCCCCAGGGAATGGGGAGCTGTGTCCCCCAGGACCCACCAGGGAATGGGGAGCTGTGTCCCCCAGGGAATGGGGAGCTGTGTCCCCAAGGACCCACCAGGGAACGGTGCCGGTGCCAACCTTGGAAATGGGAGAAACCCCCTCCTCTGGGTGGCTGTGGCCAGGTCTCACCTGCTCAGGTAGACAGAGAAGAGGTCCCTGGGCACCAGGTGCTGCTTCATCATGTTGTCGAAGACCGGGGTAGCCCCGGAGGAGGCGATGCTGGGGAAGGCCAGCCCCAGGATGCCGTCGAAGGGCGCGTAGCGGAACGAGCTGCCGGGCTCGGTCTCAGCCAACCCAAAGATCTGGTTGTAGACCCGGATGCCCGCCACCTGGCCACGGGGAGATGGGGAGAGGAGGGTGGTTTGGGCAGTGTCCCCCAGTGCCCGTGGGCCAGCGGGTTGCTGGGCTGTCCCGCCTCACTCACCCTGGTGGTGTCGTAGCCCAGGACGCCGGTCATGCTGCCCGAGCCGTAGACGATCTCCAGGGTGTCGTTGGTGCTCAGGAAGGTGGAGGAATCCACGGGGTTGAAACGGTGGTGGGTGCCTGTGGCCGTGGGCAGGAGATGGTCACCAGTCCTGTCACCAGCCCTCCTGTCCTCAGGGACTCAGGGTGACCCCTCCAGTGCCTCCCCCATCGCCCGGCGGGAGAGGAGCGGGCAGAGCCATCCACGGCTCCCGGGCCTTCCAGGGGTGCCGGGAGCCAGGGAGGACTAGGGGTGGCCAAGCTTGGGGTTCCTGCTGCCTTCACCCCTTTTCCCAGCTGGCCAGGGGGGCTACCAGACACCTACTGCAGGCGGGGCTGGTGCAGTACACCGAGGGCACCCACAGGTTGGAGGAGCCTGTGTCGAAGATGACGGTGAACTTCTGGGGGGGGGGCCCGATGGAGGTGGTGCCAAAGTACTCAGAGCAGGGTGGGTGAGGGGCTAGCAGGACGGGTGAGGGGCTAGCAGGATGGGTAAGGGGCTAGGAGGACGGGTGAGGGGCTAGCAGGATGGGTGAGGGGCTAGCAGGATGGGTGAGGGGCTAGCAGGACGGATGAGGGACTAGTAGGTCAGACAAGGGGTCAGGGAGACTGGTAAGGGGCTAGGGGGAAGGCTAAAGGACTAGCAGGGTGGGTAAAGGGCTAGTGGGTCAGGTAATGGGTTCAGGGGAACTGGTAAGGGGCTAGAAGGTCAGGTAATGGGTTGAAGGGAAAGGTAAAGGGCTAGTGGGATGGGTAAGGGGTTAACAGGATGGGTAAGAGGTTAGTGGGATGGGTAAGGGGCTAGGGGGTCAGGCAAGGGGTTAGGAGGACAGGTAAGGGTTTAGGGGGGGACAGGTAAGGGGCTAGTGGGCAGGTAAGGGGCTAGTGGGACAGGCAAGGGGTTAGGAGGGACAAGTAAGAGGTATGGGGGGACAGGCGAGAGGTAAGTGTGTAGGGGGGGACAGGTAAGGGGCTAGTGGGACAGATAAGGGGCTAGGGGGACAGGTAAGGGGCTAGGGGGACAGGCAAGGGGCTAGGGGGACAGGGAAAAGGCCAGTGCCCCCTTGGCTGCCCCGCTGTGCTCACGTCCAGGTAGTTCTGCATGGGCTCGGCACCCACGCGGCTGCGGAAGTACTTGGTGGCCGGGTTGTAGGGGTGCTCCTGCAGGTAGCCCTCCAGCAAGCCCTGCTCCTGCAGGGTCTGCCGCAGGGACTTCATCCTCCTCAGGAGGATCCTGGGGGGCAGGACACCCCCTTCCCACCCCCCCTTGTCCCACAGCTTGGGGTGGGGGGGGAGCTCTGGGGGCTGCGCGGCCACTGCCGGCGCTCACCTGGGGGCCAGGCAGTGGGCCAGGGTCACCAGGCTGAGGAGCAGGAGCAGCTTCATGGTGGCTGGTGACAGCAGCAAGGGAGAGGCCAGGTATGGCAGCAGGTCCCAGCCCAGCTCCTTATATCCCAGGCAGGGATGTTTGGCCAGATAAGAAAGGCAAACGGCTCCCCGGGGAGTTATCACAACGTCCTCAAGGGAGACAGGGTGGGGGGGAATGTCAGGCTGAGGGTTCTCCAGCCTCCCCCCGGGGTCGAATGCCATGACCCTCCTGGGCATGCCTGAGCACCCTTCCAGTTCCTCCCAGTCCCAACTGGGAGGCACTGAGGGATGCTGGGGAGGGGGACACAAACCTGGCTGTGGCCATTTCTCAAGGGAGCTGGTGGTCCAAAGGGTCCTGGGGCTCCTCAGGACCATCCTTGTCCCACTGCCAGGAGTTCCTGCCTGGAGGGGTTTGTCACGGACCACCCATCTTTGGGGTCCCCTCGTCCCACCCCCCAGCCCTTTGCTGGAGGGTTAAACCAGGGCTGCTTGTGGAATTGGGACCAGCTGGGGAGGGAGGAGGAGGAGCTGGTTGAACAATGGCAAGGTCAAGAGGGATCTGGCCCTGGACCAGGTGTCCTGGCCTTCATCATGACACCATGTGTGTGAGATGTGGCTGCTGGCATGGTCACCTTGTCCTGAGCTTGGGGACAAAGCCAGACCCTGCCTTGAGGAGCTGGGGAGCAGCCTGCCCAGAGGCACCACCCAGGCTGGAGTTGGGTTCCCCCCCCTCCATCCCACCTTCAACCCAGCTCTGAATGATACAAGAATTGAGGGCAGGTGCCACATTTGCACCTGGGGAATGAGATGGAGAAGAACCTGGTAGGTCTGATGGTTGGAAGAAAAGGGATGAAACGTCTGATTCTCCCTAAGCAGAAGGAAGGGGGGATGGCAACAGTTTGGGGGTAGGGATCTGGAAAGGAGAAGGTCTTGGCTGAGCCCCAAAATGGAAAGTCTGGAGCTGGCAGGAAGCCACAGCTTGAAAACCTCCTGTGGAGCCTTGGCATCCTGCTCCTCACCAGCCTGGTGAGCCACTCAGTGCCTGCAGGTGGCTGTGAGCTGCAAACAGAGCAGAGATGAGCTGAGCTGAGCAGGACAGAGCTGAGCTGAGCTGAGCTGAGCTGAGCTGAGCAGGACAGAGCTGAGCTGAGCAGGACAGAGCTGAGCTGAGATGAGCAGGACAGAGCTGAGCTTCTCCCTCACATGTTGCTCCCCCAGCTCTGCACGAGCCCGGCAGCACCTTTGGATGAGGAAACAGAGTGAATCATGGGATGGTTTGGGTGGGAAGGGACCTTAAAGATCATCCAGCCCCAACCCCCTGCATGGGCAGGGACACCTCCCACCAGCCCAGGCTGCTCCAAGCCCCATCCAACCTGCCCTTCAACACTGCCAGGGATGGGGCAGCCACAGCTTCCCTGGGCAACCTGGGCCAGGCTCTCACCACCCGCACAGCAAAGAATTTCCTCCTCATGTCCAACCTCAATCTCTCCTCTCCCAGTTTTATCCCACCCCTCCCTGCCCTTGTCCCAAGTCCCTCCCCAGCTTTCCTGGAGCCCCTTCAGGCACTGGAAGCTGCTCTAAGGTCTCCCTGGAGCCTTCTCTTCCCCAGGCTGAACCACCCAACCCTCCCAGCCTGTCCCCAGAGCTGCTCCAGCCCTCCCATCATCTCGTTGGTCTCCTCTGGACTTGTTCCAACAGCTCCACGTCCTTCTTGTGTCAGGGGCTCCAGGACTGGGATCTGGTGATGGGTTCCTGTGGGATGTTCCATCTGGGTAAGAAGAAAAGAGCAGTTTTAGCAAAAAAAAACCCCACAACATCAGGGAAAGAAAACTGTTTATTCTGGAATTCCAGCCAGGATGGATTTGCCACCAACTGCAGCTCCACTGCCCAGAGAACAAATGAGGAGAGAAGTTCCAGCAGCTCAGAGAACATCCTGAGAGATGGACAGCCCAGTGACCTGAGCACTTCCCAACAGCCAGAGGGATCCCAAATCCAGGGATTCTATTGTGCCATGAAGACTCAGAGTGGTTTTCCAGTCTTCTACTGCAGGGTCTTCACTGCCCACAATCCTTGTGGGAATGGAGCTCCAAGAGCTGAGGGTCAGGATGGGTTTTTTTCCATGGAAAGAGAAAGGCTTTGTCAAATGGTGGGAAGTTTTTGGAGGAGCTCATTGTCCTGTCAGTAGATCCCAGGCAAGGGAAAGCCACGTGTGTCCAGACAGGCAATGATGTGGGGCAATGATCCCATCGTGATCCATGGGATGAAGATGCTGTGGAATCCAGCACTGGAAAAATCCCAGACCAAGAACTGACCTCCTTTCAAATCAAGAAGCCAAGAAATGGGGGAAGATGGAAAAGAAGCACTTCCAGAGAATGAAATTGGCCTTCCAACAGGGCTTTGGAGATGGGTCCTTGGAGGAGAAACCCTGGAGAGCACCTGATGACAGAGGGAAGGTGGAGGAGCACGTCAGGCAGGACTGCACAGCTGAACCTGGTATTGTCCTTCCCTGCCATCCTGAGGGCTAATTCCATGGGGTTTTGCTGGAGAATCATCTGGGCTTGGTCCTTCCTGGGCTGGAAGTGATAGTGGCTCATGCTGATGGCTCCAGAGAGAAGGGTCCTCTCCCTCCACACCTGGTTCTTGGCTCTGGTCCTCCAGGACAGGTCCCCTGTCCACTCTGAGGTGGCTGAAGCCTCAGCATGACTCCGTGGCTTCACCTCTTTCCTGAGTCTTCTCCACCCAGGATCCCATCAGGGTTTACTCTTCAGGTCTTCAGAGCCTTCTGAAGAACATCAGACCCTTGGGGTTTGGAAGCAGACGTGGTGGGACCCATCTGTCACTGAACACCCTTCCAAGCCCTGGGATGGGAGAGGGAAATCAACAGCACCTGCAGCCTGGTGGGTCCATCAGGATGGCAAAGGAGAGGCAGCAGTGGTGGGAACAGCCAGGCTCAGGGTGCCACCAAAGGGGGGGGTGACACAGGAAGGAGACACTCTGGTTGGTGACCTGGATGTTTCCAACCTTGGTAGAGAAAGAGGGGGAATGAGAGATGCCAGAGTCTGGAAAAAAAAATCCAAAGGGAACCCTGAGGACATGGGAAACCAAGATGGGAAAAGTTGGAAACACAAGTCTCCAGGTGCTGGGGTCTGTTGGGCTGGGTGCCCACGGTGGGTGACCAGGGTGGGAGGCCAAAGGTGAGTGACAAAGGGTGGGTGACCAGGGTGGGTTGGGGTGGGTGACCACGGTGGGAGGGCAAGAGGGGGTGGCCAAGGTGGGTGGCCAAGGATGGGTGACCAGGGTGGATGGTCAGGGTGGGTGATCAGGGTGGGTGGCCAAGGATAGGTGAGCAGGGTAGGAGGCCAAGGGTGGGTGACAAAGAGTGGGTGAGCAGGGTGGGTGGTCAAGGGTGGATGAGCAGGGTGGGAGGCCAAGGGTGGGCGACCAGGGTGGGTGGTCAGGGTGGGTGGTCAAGGGTAGGTGACCAGGGTGGGTGGTCAGGGTGGGTGAGCAGGGTGGGAGGCAGAGGTGGCTGCTGGCTCTGCTGTAGCTCTGCTCGGCAGCAGAGGGCACCAAACGATGGGGAGATCCCAGCCATGTTCTCCAAAAGCAGAGGAAGCCCAGCTGGAGGGATGGACCTGGAGGTTGTCACGCTGGTTTGCCAGCTCCTCAGGCAGCTGGGGTGGGGTTCCTGGGCACTAAAGTCCCCTAGAAGTTGTGTCTGTGTCCAGAAAAGTGAGATGTTGGTGTCTGAGGATCTGACTCCCTGGGTGCAGAAGCTCAACTTGGGCTGGTGAGGAGCAGAAGCATCGAATGACTCACATGGAGCACAGAAACCAAGCCCCAGATGGGCTGGTGGTGGGTGGAGGACAGCTGGTGGCTGACGTGGTTGTGGTTGGCTGCAAAAGCAGAAGAGTGGAGTGCTGACCTTGACCTGCCCCTGCAGGGAAGGTCCAGGGCAGTGCAGAACTGGTGACTGGAACATTTATTTACCTGCTTTGCTGCCTTCAGTGATTCACGCGTGAAGAGCTGGTTCCTCTAAAAGCTCCACGAGATGCACTGGAAGGAACTCACAAGATTCCCTGAGCAACCTAAGCCAGGAACATCAGGAGATGGGCACCTCCATAAGCTGCCTGTGCTCCAGGATGGGCCCCAAATGAAGAGCTCCTGGTGTGAGGATCCACCAGGGACTCAATGAGCCCGGTGGCCAAGGGCTGAGAAGTCTCCATGGGAACTGTACAAGCTGAGGTGAGCCCTCTTGGGATGGGTCTGACCACCTTGGAGCTGACTCCCTGGGCCAGATGGGGCCATACATGGATTTCTGCACGGCCCAGGACTCTGCTGACTAAGCTCAGGAGCCGCCTTCACTTTATCTGAGCAGGCTTGAAAAGCTCAGCCTGGAAAAAATGACCTTCTTGAGACAGCCCTTATCTCAGCCACCCCAGATTAAGGAAGCAAACTTGTTTTCCAGGCCCTGTTCCTGGTCTTTCCTGTCCTTCCCAGAAAGGCATTATCACACATCACAGGTGGCTTTATCAGACCTGTCAGATGAAAGGCAGAGAGAGGAGGGAAGGGCTGGTCTGAGGCTCCAGAGGTGACAAACCCCAACGGTTTGATGTCAGGGTGTTTGTTTGAAGTCCTCCAGGAAGCCCTCAAGAGATGTCTCCTGATCTTTGGCGGGTGGATTTAGCTGGAGAAGGACCTCCAGGTGGTCAGGGTGGCTCTTTCTACCTGCTGTGGGTGATCCTGGGTGGTGACCAACACCTTGGGTGGTGACCTACACCTTGGGTGGCCTCATCCTGTGGTTGCTCAATCAGTGAAAGTTACTTTCTGCCTGGGCTGCCCAAATAGAGGTTGGACCACAAAGCTTCCTGGTTGTGCAAGGGCAGAAAGGGAAGGGGTTTGCTCGTGGCCAGGGGTACATCTGCAACCCAGGGCTGAGAAGAGGGGAGAAAAAGTGGTGCCTTCTGACCCATTCCTGCCCAAAAAAGATGGGTGGGATCCTGGAAAACCCTCCCCTT